CACACGTTTTATCGTTGTTCTGATGTTATGATTAAAAATCTTGCCAAATTCCTCTTCACTTCCATGATTAATTAATCTCCCTAGTTACCTGTCGAATTTGACACTCTTAGTTCTATCATTCGAGCTCACCCCTTTAAATTTATTTTCAGTTTTGTAGCTATAAGATGGACAAAGGCTTTTTCGTTAAAGAAGAAATCTGATAGCATAACTGAGCAGGAATCACGCTGGAGTCGCACACGACCGTTTTTCTTGTCAATCACTTTCGGCATTTCTTCCGCCTCCTTCACTTCCGTTCATCATTTTGACCAGTTTTTGCGTTTCCTTGTCCAACAGAATCATAACTATATAAAATATGTATTGAAAAATTGAGGAATATCCTGATCTTTTTTTCAAGTTGAACCAACTCATTACTTTCATGATGAACTAATTTATTTTTCAAATTGTGCTCAAGAGACATAGTGTCATTTTTATCTATTTGTGTACGCAATAAAATGAGTCCTTACGTATGAAATGTTAATTATAATTTTTATTGCAATACTTAATTTTGCTGTGAAGATTTTTTTGTTCCGAAATAAATTTTAATAATAATTTACTGTGCATCTTGTCATTTTCTGCATGCTGTGTTTATTTTCATCTCCTTTTCATGTTTTAATTTTGATATGTTAGAACCTTTACTGACAAATAAGATCCGACTCAAACGCCAAAATTTTTCCCAATGCTAACCTTGGCTCAGAAAGTCTGTTGAAAATAAACGTAACTGTTATTTTTCTAATCTGTGTATCACACCTATTCACTGTACAGTAGGTGTTTGTTTGCTATCAGCAAGGACAACCAGCAAGAATGTACGGACCTATTATTTGAACAAACATCAGATAAATAGAATCTGCTTCTCCACATCTCTATTTTCGTTCCGAAGAACTCATGATATTTGGACAATAATACAATACATTACTGTGTTTATACAACCGTTTGTGTGACCTGTTAGAAGACTTTTTAACTGGTTAGTGTGAAAACCACATAATTTTGTCTGGACATATTTTCCTCGTATATATGTTGTTTGATATGACTTTATAAAATGGTCGCCTGGTTTATATATTTAATTTATTAAAGTATCTTTGGCTTAACTGTGTATAGGATATGATCTACATTTGAAAAACTGCAGTTGGAAAGGTTGTTAACATGTTACACATGTAAACATAAAGCGGTTCGTCTGGATGGCTATCCAAGATTTATCTTATACCCGAATATTTGGTACAAGCAATCGGACCAAGCTCAATCCAATCATGAATTTGGAGATAACCAGTCTTTTGACCGGTTTGTGTTTTTTATCCTGTTTTCCTGCATTTCCTCTTTATAAAAAAAAACTATAAAATCAGCATCAGTTCTCAATGTTTTATGTGTTAAAACATAATATATAGATATAAAACAATCTATTTTAAAAAATACTAACAAAAAAGAGAGGGAAAATACATTATTTTCTACGATAGAAAACAATTATTTCTCATGAGCTTCAGTTTAAAACGCAATTTCCTACATAATTGTGAGAGGAAGAGGAAAAAATCAAAACGATGCAGGCGGCAATTTTGATGGAGTGCTTACAGACTCAGATTGAAAGAAAGTCGATCACCCGGGCCTGTCTACATATAAAATGGAAAAGTTGAGATCACAACAATTTCAAATGAAAGCTTACATTAAAGTAAAAGTATTAGATATAGAAAGGAAAAATTATCAAGGTTTATTGTTTTATCAATAGCTCAACCGTCAAGTCAATCCTAACAATTTTGATTTGAGCCTCTCTTTTAGATTTTAAATATTAACTAAAAAGATTAAGCGGCTTCCAGTTTATAGATTCGTATTTGAGATGTTCAAAGTTATTTTTATAGCCGAACCGATTGGCTCTGGTTATTCGAAACGGATAATCCCACCTAGAAACGGCCGTGGAAACGCAGTAGGTTCGAAGTTCCATCGATCCGTCCGTTATGCTCCAATGGTTCAGCCCATATATGGTTGCCGTCCCAAGGAGTTCGTATTACCTGTAAAAAACGACCGAGTCCTCCCTTCAAATGTTTACGCAATACGCCGATAATCTGGTTGTATAATTTTGGCAAGAGAGGAACAGCATGAATGCGGCAATAAATTAGGCAAATATTAGTCTTTGAATCATCTAAGGATCCATATTTTGACGCTGTTATTCCCATTTTGACTGTCATGATGAGACACAAGCAGAAAATAGCTTTGACGAAAAACCTTGTGGCGTGCAGTGTGGCGTCCAAAATTCCTTTTCTAGCGACATGTGTATCGAAGGGTATAGCTGTTCACAGCTAATAGCATAAACTTTATGAGCAACCTGAAATAATTTTAGGTTCAATATTAATCACCCTACTAGTGTAAATGTTACAGGAGTTTTCCAGGGCGAGATAATCAGTACAATTTTCTATAATTCTGATTTATAAGGGTAATAGTAATGAAAGAAAAAAATACATGACAGTTGGGTACTTTCGGCCTACAAGTTTAAAAAACCCAATAGAAGAAAAGTTATGAATAATTTTTTTTAAACAATTGATTTCTCAAGTAGTCCAATCCGGCAAATTATACATCAATTTACATGCAGACTTTATCGAAAAACAAACATTTCTTTTTAAACACTACAAAAGGTTAACGATAGAACATTTTTACGTATAATGAAATTGTGGCAACAATCTTAGCCTACATACACCAGCAGGTGAATCGTGTGTGAGAATTGGCCTGTGAACTGTGTTTTAACATCCTTTTTTCTACATATCGTAATTTTAATTCCACACCAGTCTTTATAATTATTAACTGTTAGATGCTCCTGAATTCACATTGAATTGTAATACTTTGTGAAGGAAGGTGTTGAACGGCAGTACGTTTATTTGTATAGACATGCCTTGTAAATAAATAGAACTGTTAACTTTAATCTTCTTGTTAATCTGTTTCTGTGCGAAGACAGGCCGTAGTTTAGTCATGCTGAAAGCCGACCGCGTGCACGAAGTGAGACTGCACGGATTCAGTGATGAACAGTTACGGTTTAACGGTTGATAGAAAAGACGTTCCAATAATTACATCATCTTCCAAAAGTGAAATACTTAAAAAATTTGTTATTATATTTATGTTACAATATCTCACACTGTATGATTCATTCTCTGATTGGAAAATGTAGCTATAAGAAACGGACCCCAAAATGAATTGAACATTATATAAATAAATATATATATATATATATATACATTTATATTTTTATAATACTGCAATAAGGTTATGTAGATTGATAAATTAGTAAATTAACGCGTTTCTTTTTCATCAATCGGAAAGCAAATGTAAATGTTACATTACAACTACTAAAGGTTGTATAAAATTGCTCACAAATTGACTATTTTCGACTCGCTTTGAGCAAATTTGTAAATATTTAATGATGAAGGCAAAATACTATGGTATAGTTTGTCGACTTTTATTTGTCTGTCAGATTGATATCTCACTTCAACAACAACAGTTTAAAAAATATGATTTATCTAGTAATTTAGGAGTTTTGTTGCTGTTATTTTAATACAATTTTGAAAAATAGTTTTTTTATTACATTTGTTTACCTGTTTGATTTTTAATGGTTAACTATTATCTGATCATAATGTATTGCATAAATGCTATTACCATTGCATTTTTTTACGCCTCACCTCTCACATTGGATCGACCACGTTCACCGAAAAAATCACCACTCGCCGATAACACCTTCGTGTGACTGCCTTTCTCCCACTGGAAATGGTCGTTTCGAAACACCATGCGGTTGTGTGGTACGTTTCATTTCTTAATCCGAACGCTTTTATTTTTTGACAAAACGCCCTCTAAAAACCTATCGTAATCATATTAGAAAATTGGTGTTACTGAGCTGCTGCATGTGCTAGCCGAAATGAATCAGAGACACGCTAAAATGGAAAACTGGAAAGTCGGCGCCATCTAAGCCAAAAATGGTCAAAAATGCTGGAATTTTTCAATTTGTAACGAAGTCTGTAGACATTTCTTTTCACATTACGATCTTACTTAATGTATGTCTATANTTTCAAAATTTCAATATTATTTATTGTTTAACCTATAAAAAGTACATGTCAATAAATAATGACTCTTTCCAGTCTAGAAATTTTGATAAATAAATCAAGGATCTCATTGTGGTTATACTGGCAATTTTCCTCGCAATTATCTGGTTGAAGCTTGTGATTTTTTTTTCATTTTTCAGTTACAATATTAGAAAAGCGCCGTGCGATAATGGAAAACCCGTTACCGTTGTGGTTTCTCCATCTTCTTTAGTCCATGTTAAAACAACAAGCCCGTTATTGCCACCTGACACAAGATGTAAATTTGGCAAATTTTTTTGGTTGTTTTTGATTTTACATCCTTTAAAATCAGGCCAACTCCGTGCTACGTTAACCACAATTCAACATTCAACGCTAGTGAAAGGTCTGTAAATAATGATTACACGATGATATGTACACGTGTTATCCTGCTATGGTTTGTTTGTATACTTTAATATTTTTTTATTACCACAAAAAAATGTTCGTCAAAACCAATTATTTTAATAATTTTCATTTTTTGTAAAGATTTAAGGTCTAAATTAAGTATTCAATGATTATGAGACATGATCTCGAACGTTTGCTTCTAGTAAGAGGGGCGTTGTTGATTTTTTATTTTATAGAAAGGCTGTTTGAAACATGAAATATGTTACACGTAACGTGATATCCGTTTTCCTTTTAATGTCATACACGACTCTGTCCCACCCCCTAATAAAACAAGCAACCGACAATTTTTCTAATTTCCAGTGTGAGCAAATAACCACGCAGATTGGAGGTGGATAAGTGAAAGCGAACATTTCGAACCTTCCAAACAATCGATAAGACAAACGGAATATCTTTTTTATGTACATCATGTATTGTATTTAATTACACTAGAAAATGCAACCTTGACAATGATCTTTTTGTCTTTTTATTTTGCAGATGGAGATCCTTTAATATCCTGTGATGAGATGTCATGTAAGTTACGTAGAAAAGCTTTACTAAAATAGAGATGCTGCTAAAAATGCCACATAGTGCTAAAACTACTTCACTTATTAATATTATTAATTAACATTTTCTAAATAATTTAGGTGCTAGTTTTATAAAAATTATAACGGAGATTCTAGAAATGAAAATCTTAAGGGAAGTCGTCAGGTGTAATTGTTGTTCCGGTACGTGTCAACTAGTTTCGTCACCCTAATAAACAGCTATTAACCTTATTATGATCCGTCTTGCATCGCTAGAAACAGTGAGAGATAAAAAATCGTGAGAATCCCCAAGATTTTTCAATCATTACGTCACCTCTGATAGAATCTTCCTGGATCAATACTAACGGAAATTTTCTTTATCTTTGAAAATTCTAAAGACTGGGATTTTGTTGAAAAGAAAGCATGACTAATTGTTATAATAAGTCTAACCACAAATTTACAACAGTTGCCATTTGTATAAAGGGCAGGTGGGGAAGGAAGTTTTTATACCAGAACACCTGTTTAGGATTTTACCATAAAAAGAGCCAAAGACGTGTTTTATAACCAAGTTGAAGAATTTCCATTGAAACGATACAATATGGAAGAAAAGAGTAAAGAATCACTCACTCTAACGAATCTAGTAAGTTTGAACGACTATTATATAGTGTGTGCAAATAAATTATTGTAACTATTGTTGTAATAGTGTTTAAAAAAATACTTTTTTAACTTCTTTCGTTAGTGAAAGGTCAAATACGATGGGAGATTTTTATGCAAATAACGTCTTAGTACATTTAGGTCGTGATGTATTTACTCCTAATTTATAGAGATTAAATTTATAGAGGTTCATTTTTCAAATTCGAAATGCCTCCAACTCACTTCCAAAAATACTGGCTTTCGAATCAATTAAGTCAGTAACGTTCTTAAATACTCAACAGAGTCAAATCTTTGGGAAGGCACCATGGTTTCCTTTGAGGGGACTCGCAGAAGGGAAATATGAAGCGTGCTGTATGCCCTAACTAGGGCGGAAATGTCTCAAAGATATACCATCTATAAAATAACAATGAGCTTCAAAGGTGATGCTCGGGTTGATTTATACGCGGCAAGAAGGAAATTTAATCTAAAGCTAGAGACGCAGAACTTAAATGCTAAGCCACATGATGAAGATAGAGGTAGGAGATCCCCGGGTCTAGGTTGTTACAGAGAACCTAGGAGAAGATGAGGTTACCTTTCATTCTATATGCAATTGCTCCATTTTTGTTGAGATCCGTTGGCAAACCATGGGAACTCCTTCTTTAAAAGGATGAAGCGATTCGGATGTTACGAGGTGGTTATGCATGTCTAAATTAAGCAGGGCTGCCTGGAGAAACTGGAAGTATCTCATTAATGAATTTAATTTTTCAAAGTGGAAAACAAAATGTCTTTTTATTTGGGTTGAATTGAAAAGCAATGACAGCTATCACAACATTCAAAATCCCCTTTCTTTCTCAGTCCAAACTCAAAAATATAATTCCTTACTTCAGTCTGGCATTTCTAGAATTTCAACTGTTAGCAGTAAGCATCCACCACTGATATGTTCAACAAAAACAAACTTTTTAAACACACACATTCACACGCATGCATATAAATGTGTGTGTGTGTATATATATATATATATATATATATATATATATATATAACCCAAACCTTGAAAGAATAATTCATTGATTGAAACAAGTAACTTAGAAGTTATAACTAGTCAATTGACTACGAAAACTTAAAAAGAATCATCTATATTGCATCTGTTGATAGTCATTTAAAAATCTTTCAATTTCTTCTGCATGGTTTCGATACTTATGTGATGTTAATAATAATAATATCAATTCACATGGAACATCATGTGCTTGTATGTTCCCTTTATTCTGTGATATGCTTATTTAAAAAAAAGCTCAATTATATTATTAAATTAATAATTTAAAAAATGGCACTTTTTTATTTTTGGTGGATTATTAAAAAGTAAAAACATTGCCCATAAATCGGTAACTTTCAAAGATACTCATTGAATGTTAATTTTTAAAGAGAATCCATTATGACCGTGAAATATAGAAATGATCCATTTCAAGCAATGATAACCATTAATGGTTCCCTTCCTTAACAGTTTTTTAGACAAGAAGAAATTTTTTTGTTTAAATTAAATTACTTGCTAGGCCTTTTATTGAAGGTGTAGGTTGATTTTGAATAATACCATCTATAACTTTTTCGACGCTTGGTATTTAAAAGCTCTTTTTATCACTAGTCGTGATCACTTCACATCTCACATCCTCCCTACCCATGTGCTTTCCACCTCATCTCTTTCAGAGGTAAGATGTATCATGAATCGGATGTCATATCACAGCGTCCCTGATTTTAACCTCATTACGTCTAAAATCCTCCGTGATTTTCCGACAAAAACTATCGTCATACTCACGTCATGTGTGAACGTAATCAGGTTCACGTGTGAGGAAACAGAAATAGATACAAAATAAAAATGATTAAAATAAAAACGAAAACCAAAATAAAATAAAGATAATCTTTCAAATTTTACAACAGTACACGGATAAGCCCTACACCTATTATTACATAGAGAATTTTCACTCTTTCTCGCATTAATAGATATTAAGTCCAAGATTGCCTTCGCCCAAATCTTTTGAGACCATCTTTCCTTTTGGAGAGGGTTCCCTACCCTTACGGGGTCTCTTTGTGCCATGGGTCCCCCTGGTCCATGACACTCACAATTCTCTTCAGGAGTATATTCCGTACCACCACCATTTACGTTGTGACTGCGTGAAAGTAAAAACAAAAATTCTCCATGACTATGACATAAGACATAGACGCGACGTATACTGTTTGTATTATTAAAAACAATAATCTAAAATACGCATAACAATTGACATAATTAAAATTAACCAGAATAGAAAATAAAATGGAACATAAGAAAAGGACACAATAATAAATTTAAATGTAATACAAGTCATTCTGATTATTCGGATTAATGAATATCAGTTTCGAGTGTAATCAGAATAACATAAGTCTAAGTATACTAAGTGGTCAATGTGTGACAAGACTTTTATGACTCATCTCTTATGGAAGGTACATTTCGGCTTTGAGCAAATCATTTTTCTCTTTAGACACCGAAAAGCCTAACTTCCTTACTGCTTCGATCGTAAGGTTAACCACAAATCAACGTCAAGCGTTCGTATACTATGAAAAGGTTGAAAAAAATTCATTTCACTTTTTCCTGCCGACATGACAGAAACGTTGTAAACTTCCTTTCTCGATGAAGTGTAAACAAGATTTCATTCGCCTTTTCGGAAAGGTTTGAAATGAGTTAATTCCATAATTGTTTGCCAACGTAACAATACGGCTATCTCTGGGATCAGCATGTTGGGAAATTGAAGAAAACAGGCTCCCTTCGTTCTTCCGTCGTCGCCTGGGGAAAGGTCGGCGAGGTGGTGCTATTTCGCAAAAACCCCTCTGGAATTGACCGGCGAATTGTAAGGGCCGGGTAATTTTGCCAAAGGTCGACTGTTAAGATCTCTTCCAGACGTACATCGGCCCTCGCTTTGTTCGTCTTATCTAAGAAAACAATGGATTCTACAAGATCTTCTGGAGATATTAATCGGATTTCGAAACCACGACGACAAAACAAAAGCCATTTTGACCAAAGGTAGCCTGGGTCAGATGTCTGAAAAGGAAGAGTAACTGTTTATAAATTGCTAAGAAGCCCAAAAGCAATTTTGGACTGAGCGTTTAGAAAATTATGCTTCTTAAATTATTTATGCCTTTTAAAGCCCATATTTTCATCTTCGTTTGCACATTCCGTTTAAAAGCAATAAATATAGTTAGTAATAAATATAATAAATAAGTATAGTTTTAAATTCCCGATAGAGCTCTCGGTTGAATACTCTTCGACTAAGGAAATTCGTCTATATGCCAAGCTTTAAACCAGGGATATTCCACTGCAGAACTATACAACAGTTATGTCCTTTTGATGGTTAGTGTCTTGTTGGTGTGGTCTGCTAGTAGGTGAGCAAACGTTGAACCCTCGCGGGTTTTTAATGTTATACAAATGAAATTCCTCACTGAAGATGGCCTAAACGCTTTCGAGTGTCCAAAACCTGCTCCTGAGCTGTCATAAAAATTTAGTCACTAAAAAAAAGTATTGAGAAATTCGTCGGAGCATGATTACTTCAAGAAGATCAACATTATTTAAAATAATAAGTTATCAATCTAAAAAAATGTTTTGTTTTGAACAATGATTTTGATGATCATTTGTCCCATGATCTGTCTTTTTGTCATTGCAAAAACATGTATTGACAAATCGAACGTCATAGTTCATATGCATGCATTAATTTGTTGGAACCACCCGTAACCTTATTTTATAGCGACTCGGCCACATAATGGAGTGAACCCCCTTATTTCTAGCCCCTAGGGTCAGCACATCAGAGAGTGACAATCCTTCGAGGTGAAAGTCCTCAATAATAATAATTCACTGGTGGAAAAATTTAACGCACTACTCAATTTATTTAATTTAATTAAGTCCATTATCTTTCCACATTAGTTACAGGTAATTATGAGCTATCGTGTCAAAATAAACAGTAAATAAATTATTGTTTAATGTAAGACCTGTGCTATCCGATGTTTTTCATGCAATAAATAACCAACAGAATTGAATTAATTAACCCCGCGCAATTAACCCCATGAATCGCTCTGAAAAACCTTAAAAATTGGTCAATAAAAAATCTTGAGGATTCACCTCAGAGGCCTAAACGTGTATATGAGTTGTCCCCCCAATTTTATCATTATGAAGGTATTATTCTGAGTTTCGAACTTTGAACATAATTATGATTCTATTTTGTAACAAAGCACTAAATCACTAATACAACTTTTCGTCTTCAACGCTGAAATAGGCCTTCAAACATGCAACACGACTTCTCATACAACAATTAGAAAGAGGACATTTAAAAAAATCAGTTCTGATCTACCATAAAAAGT